CGAGGACTGGGAAGAAGACTGATACAGCTAACCGACGACCTTAAACAAGGAAAGAAGATGACGTTCCAGGAATTAAAGCGAGAAGCCGAGAATAGGGACAACTGGAGAGCTCTTTTTGGGCAGAGCAATGGACATGTCGTCAGACAGAACACTAAATAATAATAAAATGAAATATTACTGTATTGTCATTTCATCTCATAAATAAATTTAATGTGCTATTTTCATCTGATGCCTAACTTTGTTGCGTCATGTTTTAGGTGAAGGGAGTGCTTAAATGTGAGAATGTTGCTTTGCTGTCCACCCCTGTAACCTCGCTACCTGTCATCAAGACCACCCGATTCAATTTGCCACAGAAACTTGGAGATGACGTCTCTGTTTCCAGTGTGAGTATGATTTTATATGTTGCATTGACTGTAACATCACTGTCTTTATCTCTGTTTGTCGCCAGAACACAAAATATCACCGCTGTTCTGTCTAGTAATGTCACACTTTGGCTCATACTTGGTATTTTTACCCCACAGAATGGTGCTCTAGTAACGACTCCTCTCACTTCTAACCATACACCATTCCGCACGCCAAAGTCTGTCCGACGAGGCAACCCTTCCAGTGACCACCGTATCCTGGGTACACCAGATTACTTGGCCCCTGAGCTGCTGTTACGTCAAGGACACGGTAAGTTATGCAGGTCTGTGGCTGGTTATGAATTGATCGTACCATCGTATGATCTGGAGCTTCAACAGTGACAAAGTGTAATAAATTTTTTCTTGTGCTGGCAGCCGTGTCAGGTGGTTGAAAAGCTTGAGAACCATCTTCTGAAGTCTCCTCAGTACCCTGAGGACGAGGATGAAGATGGTTCTCGAAATGTTGGTGTTTTCGCCTTTCAACCACCTGACAAGGCCGGTAGCCCGAGTAAAATTTATTATGCTCTTACTTAATACGCTGTGCTATGTGAAGTGTTGGACATTTTGAGGCAGATTACTTTTGAATATGCTTAAACTTGTTTAGAACATCATAGGTACAAAATTATAATCGCTGTTTGCTAATTCTGCGTAGAGACACATACCATTTCCGTGTCCTCACATTTCATGTATGATGGTCTTTTGCCTCAACACTCTGCCCACCGCCCATGAAGTATGTGTAAGTTTATGCGTTGAATCAGTCTTTTTAAATATATTTTCCTTAAAATTTATATAGATTTAGAAATTATAGCACTGTGAGAATAAAGAAAATGTATTTGGAAACAGCCACAAACATACACAAATTGAACTGTCGTGGGATGTTTTAACCTGTCTGGCATGCTGAAACAAATTGCAGTAGTTGCTTCAAGCCGACAGCACAGTGATGTTTTTATCAAGATCAGCAGCTGTCTCACTTTCCCTCTTGCCAGTTCAGTTTTGTTGTAGCCTTCGTTAAAAAATTTTTTATTTACTATTACAACTTCATCTTCATTCTCTTACTTTAACTGTCCTATTTGGTACAGTCACTGCTGTTGCAGTTTAGTAGTTGTGTTAAAGAATATCGCTGTCTTCTGGGTTGTTGCGCTGTGTAGTCTGGTAGATGTCCACCAACGCTTCAGAGGTCATGCTGCCTCTGTCATCAGGGCGATTTCAATCAACAACCCAGATTCACCGCCGTGAAAACCTCAAATCCTACACAGTATTCGTGTTCTCGAAGTTCTTTGCCTTCATTTGCCATGTGCTTGATAGTTTTACTTCCAAAACAGACTTGTGTTACGGAAATGGTGCATCCTAATTCTTCCTTTGCGTTAGATACAAATCGCACAATGAGAACATTCGAGTAACAGAGCGGACTGCAAGTTCAAGTTATTTTCTGCTGTCCCTTCTATTTGAAGTTCATTTGTATTTGGTACTGATACCAAGTCAGCTTCAGAATTTTGTAACGTGTTTCGAAAATTTAATTCTCAAATTTTCCCCTCTGCTTCCGCTTTAATTTTAACTTGTTGCTTACGTTAATAAATGCAGCTGTTTTAAGCCTTTCCTTCTCTCTGCAACTAATTATAGAGACAGAAACCTAAAATGTAGTTAGTACAATGTGTTAGCATTTCTAATAATTTGTACCACATTCAGACGCACTGGATATTCAAAACACTGTGTCAGTTATTGAACTTTTTCTGAATGTATAAACCAAGGGTTATAACCCATGGATCATGATTGAAAATCGAGCCGCCATGCTGTTTTGGCTGGGTTACCGTGTGTAAACAAGGTTCACATTTATATATTTTTCTGTTTTTAATTCTGTTCTGTTCTGTAGTTCTTCTAATTTTTATAACTGTCTTCAACTATTTTGTACTACGAATTAATGTATGAATAAATATTTTAATTGGGTGTTCAGTTTTATTAATTTATTTTATACTAATTTGTGTGCATATCTTAATTTTCAATTGACCTATGGGTTGCAAGGCTGACTCGCAAATTTTATCCGAGTCTCTGCAGTAAACGGTTAAGAACCACTGGTTGAATTCTGACGTGGTATCGATTGTGGTCATCTGGACTGTAAGACAATTCCTCTAAAGGTGGCGACTGACTTGTAACATTTGCCTGTAATGTAACGTGTTACAAATCGAGCATTACACAAGTGAAGACAGCGAACGGAGCCGCTCGATGCGAGCTGCTCACGCTCGCGGGCGCTCCATCGTGTTGTCGGTTTTTTCGCGAATCCCTTTGAGTGTTACATTACAAGTCAGTCAGTCAGTCGAGCGGCGTCGTAACGAGCATTCACGAGTTCTTTAGATAAGAGTAGCGTATTAAATGGAACAAAGATAACACAACCTCCACGTCCGACATATGAATGGAGCACACATGAGCACAGTCGAGCCGAGCGTTCAAAACGAGCATTCGATACGCCTCACCAGTTGTGGTGTAATGTAACATGCTCGCCGCGAATGTTACATTACGAGTAAATGTTACAAGTCAGTCGCCACCTTAAAATGTTGGCAACCAGCTGCAAGACTGCATGGCGTCACAACCCAGAACACTGTAATTGATATGTGCCACTGTGAGAACATAAAGTATCGCACTGACGTCATTGTGTGATCTTTTACAAGAATGTGTTTCTGTTTGCGTCCTGCAGGACCTGCAGTAGACTGGTGGGCACTGGGTGTCTGCTTGTTTGAATTCATGGCTGGCATCCCGCCCTTTAACGATGGAACTCCTCAGGATGTGTTTAATAACATTCTTAACAGAGGTAACGATTGTACACTCATTTTAATGTAATTTCAAGTTTGCAGTTATTCTGCCCTTAAATAATCACTTTTCATGTGCATAAAGTTAACTGTCTCTTTTTAATTTTTATGAAGTTGGTTTATTGCCACGTTCACAGGTCCCTGTGATAAAATGTTGGGCTTTCATAATGATCTTCGCGTCCAATGTCATTTTCTTGGGCACTGATTAGTTACAGCTGCTGCATACAATCCAAAAGTAATTTTAAATGGTATCACCTCCTCTGAATTCCACAACCCATGAATGCAGAACAATGTTACTGTGTTTGTACATGATTTTTCTTAACACTTTTCTAGTTTAATGTTCACCACACACACAAAAAAAGACAGAGACAATTTTCATAACTCGGTGAGACGCGTGTTCCTTATTTTATTGTCGGTATCACTTTTACAGACATCCCATGGCCGCGAGAAGAGGAGCAGTTTTCGAAGCCTGCCCGTTCTGCAATTGACACTCTTCTGACACTGGACCCAGTTCAGAGACCTGCGGCACCTCAGGTGAAACAGATGTCCCTCTTTTCAGCGATAGACTGGGACAATCTCCTGAGCACTACGGCGCCTTTTGTGCCACAGCCTGACGACAGCACCGACACCATCTACTTTCAAGGTGTGTGCTTTTGTCGTGTATGTCAGTACAGTAGACGGTTTATAGTTATCTCTACCGACTCCTTGGAGCACAGTTCTTCTTTAGAAGCCAATAGTCACACAGCTAGTTAAGAAATTCTGTGTCTTTTATGGAACCTTACGGTCTCTTACACTCTTAACAAGAACCCTATCCTGAGCCAGCCGGATGAATCCAGTCACACCCTCCCACCATTTCCTAAAGATATATTTTAATGTTATTTTCCCATCTACAACTAGGCTCTCCCACCAAAATTTTGTATGCATTTCTTATCTACACCACACGCTTTGCTTTGCTAATTATTTCTTGATTTTATCATCCTAATAATATTTGGAGGTGAATACAGTTCAGCGTGGGGCTGACAACCCTGTAAAAATAAAAACATCGTCGCGAAGCCAAAAAGAAGAATATGCCGGACAGACACGGAATGAATTAGGCCAAGAAAGGTACACGATTGGAATGTACTGAGCCTGCACAGAATCGGTGCTTTTGCTAGACTCAAAGAACAATCGGCAGAATATAAGATAGGAGCCGTAGCTCTCCAGGAAGTAAGATGGAGGGGTGATGATATTATGGATTCTGGAGATCATATAACCTTTTATAGTCGCCAAGACGTGCATGAACTTGGAACAAGATTTGTGGTTTTGAGGCACTTGAGACATACGGTTTATAAATTCTCTCCTGTCAATCTTGAGGATTAGGGATAAAATGTTAAACAGAAATTCTTGGTGCTGTTCAGAGGGAAGTGAGTGAATGGTAGAATTCTTATGAAAGATCAGTACGTTCAACTGTTGAAAAAGTTCCCTGTCGGTGTGGATGTTTAAGATTCAGCACTGCTGACACAAAAACGTATTATCTTGTCGTGTCATTAGACATATAAGCGCACATTCTCACAAGTTATTTTGCATCATTCATGTGATTATAATTCTTCTGACTATATGTTGGCCGCTTCCTAATTTCTTGTTCACAGTTCTGATTTTCCTGTGCTCCCTTCAGCTAGATGAAAATTAGTGTAATTTTATGTTTATCTTGATCCGCGTGGAACTTACCATTTGAATTGAAAATGCTGTGTGTTTGCCGTGTTTCAGCTCGGAATATCCTGCAGCATCTGAACGTATCCACCTTTGAGCTCTGAGTGCCTCGATTCAGTGATTGATTTCCAAAATTCTTTTTTTTTTTGCAATTACCAAATATTTCTTGCAGTGAAAAGTCAATATTGTTGTTGCAGGTACGTTTTATTTTGTTTATATTTTTGTACGTTCACTTTTGTATATGTATATATGTGGTTGATTTCTGAATATGCTTTTAAACAACATTACCTAATAGATCTCTGTGATGGTCGTACATCGCTTTCTTTGTGGTAGGAACTTGGGGACTGGATTTTAAACATTATTTAGATGAGCTTCGAAAGTAACAAATAGAACGATGCCATATGATTCGTGCGTACTTTCTTCTTTCTTTAACTGCGTGCCAGATTATCCTGGCACTTTTATTTTTTGGGCTGAATCCCCGATAATGGGATCTGACGTTACAGAAGGATTGGGATGTTCCGTCATACTGCATTACTCGGTAGTAATAAGAGGGATAAATGTAGGGCACAGCTTGTGAATAAGTTAAGTATATTTCCTTCAGGAACGCACATACTCGAAGTAACGCAAGAGACCCGTACCTTGTTTGTTATGTTGGCACTGTTTCAGTCACTCCAACACACACAGTTTAAACCTAGAAATACTGCATGTGGTTTCCAAGCACTGTTAAGGAACTACTTGAGATTCTTGGTGATCCAGCTCATGAAGTGTGTGACGCGGGTGTACACACCGGGATACTGTCCCTTGCCACAGCCGATGCCCCAGCTCACGATGCCGACCTGCATCCAGCGGCCCTGGTTGATCATCAGTGGTCCTCCACTGTCCCCCTGTACCAATTATATCAGATGTCAGTACAGTGACAACCTGTCACCTGAAGGCAGGAGCGGAGCTAACTTGACGTGTCGAACTGACCATTTTACCGTCAAACCTTAGCTCCAGAGTTTTGAAGAATCGCCACATTGTTTCATGAAAGTTGTTTAATACTTAGAAGATGTTGAATATGAACAGAAAACCTTGAAAGTCAAATATTTTGTGGGTCTGGGCCATCGCGTAATGTACGAAATTCATACGTTCCTGATATGAACGTCATGTTGGGCCTAAGAGAACCTGACTTGTCATTTTAGTTAACTAGGAAATAATTATTCAACTAAATAACCTCTAGCTAGTTACCGAGATGTCAGTGGTACTTACACTACATGAGTCATGACCATTGTCCCCAGCACACAGGAAGTGCTCCACAATACCACCCGGTGCTGACGGACCATATTTTGACCGGCAGGCGTCATTGGTCCAGATCAGAACATTGACTTCCTGCAGTGTGTCTGGCTGGTGGCCTCCTGCAGGATTATAGAGTGTTATCAGGATTACTTTGTTTTAGCCACACACATCAATGGAGGATGAAGAAACAGGTCGTATACTCGCCTTCTCTCAGACTCCCCCAGCCGATGACGGTCCCCGTTATCCCCGAATACAGAGCGCTGCCTGTCGGAAGACAGATTGGTCGCACCTGATGCGTGAAGGTGACCGGCGAATCCATTGTCAGAATGGCAACGTCATTGTACTGAAACATGAAGTGATGCGTGACTGTTTGTAGTACAACATGAATTACAAATGGTTCTGAAGATAGAGACAGCAGATTCCTCTGAACTGTTGGTAAAGGCCTACATGACTACAGTGTCACAGCGACAATGACTTCGAATGAACAAATAAAGCAAAGTAGGACAAATGCCACGACAAACTTACGTCATAATAATGGAGATCAGTTATTAGCCGTTGTTTCCTTAAGCGGACACAGATTGTACGCGCGATAATCAGACTTGTTTAGCGACAGGCCTAATGCGATGTCATTGTGGAATTGACTCTTTACATGTGAACTGACCCCGGCGTTTTGACTCGCAGGAGTCGACACTCGTGACCCCAAGCTTCAGTGATGTGCATTGTTATCAATTTCTTCAAACAATAGTAATTAATTTTCTTCCCTCAAGATGTTACACTTTACAACCATACAGGAAATGGAAAAATTTAGGAATTTTATCATAGGTTCAGTACTTATCGTGAGAAATATACTCACAGTATGAAAGTCGGTGATAATACAGTATATTTCGGTTCGTGAAATGAAGCGCATTGAACTACTCAACAGTGTGCGGTGGCAGAAATAATTTACGTAACCGAAGAATGCTTTGTTAAAAGACAGAGAATTTTCCACTAATGGTTTATTTGAGCTGGTTTCTGCTGGAATGAACGTAAGTGCGTGGTGATTGCACAGAATTGAACCACAGTCATTCCTTTCAGTTTTAAAAACTGGTTACAGATCTTTCTGGAATGCTCCAGTGATACTGTGTGATGAAGCGTGCCTTTGTTATTACCCACCAGAGTGCGTGAGTCGAAGCCACGGTGGCGAACCACTCTCTTCACCTTCTTCTCAATGTGGTGGACCTCGGAGTTCAGTTTTATGTTGTGGTCACCTAGTCGCACTGTCAGGCGGGCTACGTCCCACGAGCTCATGCTGCAATGCAATTCGGCAGCTTGTGTTCATGTCTGTATTTTAATATCTCATATATGCAAGTTATACTTTCAGAGGTGATGATTTGTGAATATTATTTTCCTTCTTAGGCCTTTATCAGTTATGCAGTGTATTTTATTTAATTGAAGCTGGTAAATTATTATACTCTGATTGTATAGCATTGAATGATAATTATACTGATGAAAGGATATGGAAGACAAAGGTTGTGGCGTAATGTAATGTACTTTCCCGTCATTTACCTGGAGAGACTAAGGAAGACTAACGAAAGCCTCAGTCAGTATAGCCAATCTCTGAATACAAACGAAGAGTTCTAACCACTTAACTGTGACATTCATGTAGTGTCAAATGGGAAATCAAAAAATGATTGTGAAGCTCAATTTTCAAGGGGTTATGGCCATGACTTACCAACACACCACAGCGGACATCTTGTCCGGTTTAGTTAGCTACGAAATAAATGTGCTGATAGCTGAGTCAGTCCACAGCGTGGGTGGTCAGGGATTAATCCCTGACAGAAGTAGGACTTGTCCATTTGTCACCACGTTTAGATGAACTTCATTAAAATGAGCGCGAGGGTCTCTCTCCGATGATAAAGCGTATACAGCTTGAAACTCGAAGCTTTAAGTCTGCTCCCGCTATATGTTGTCATGGTGTTTAAACTTAAGTGAGACTTAATCTTTTACGTCTTGGCATTGTTTACACGCCAATTACTTATTGCATGTAATTTATGTACTTGAAAAGAGATGGTACGGTATTGTAATATGTGTGATTTCCTACAGACCGTGCCGTAACGCAGGCGGTTGATCGCTAGATTCTTGCCAAAGAGGCCCAGGTTTGCTCCCAGTGGAGTCCATGTGGGATTTCTGGTGGACAGACCTGCAATTTGGGTGCGATTCTCTCCGAGTCTTTCAGTTTTCCCCCTGTGAATAACATTCCACTGCTGTTCCATATTCAGACTTGTATCAGCTTTGCCGGAGTGTCATATCGTTGATGACCTACGCATTGTATTTTTGAATCCCTACTTTCATTGATATAAACGTGTAACGCTGTTAACCTTTAAAGAGAGAAAAATCTTTTTAAATTGTCTTCGTCTGGATCAGTGCATCCCAGACACATTAATGAAAGGTTAGATGTTATAAATTTTAGTAATTAAATTATCACAGATAATTTTTGAACTTGTAAATTAATGGTATCTGAAGGAGTGAATTTCATATCTGATTTTAGAACAGAACTACTACAAAGTAAGATATGAGCGAGGGACTTTGAGTGAATCTAAGCGGACCACACGTCAAAATTTGTTTTGATAATATTTTTATGTATGTAATGATTCAGTCTGTTCGTTCTCTATCCAAGATGTCAGGTCTAAGCCATGTTGCGTTATAACTTGTATTCAGAAAGTGTCCATTCTTAATCTTGTCTGATTCACCAGCTATCCCAACTTACGATTTTCGTAGTCTTCCTCAGATCCTACATGTAAGTATGAAGACGGTACCAGACTCCTTTTGTCTTCCAGTTCTAAAATAGTCATCTGATCTAATCAGACACTAAATAATTGGATTATTTCACACATTGCCATTAAATAACCATGTAATCATCTCTGTTGTCCGTTCTGCCTATGTGCATATAAGTTAAGAATGGTTGGATTTTGTGATCCAGCTTTGCTTTTAGGTGGATTGTACACCCCATTTCAATGTGATGTCTTCTAGAACTGTAAACAAGCAACAGAAGAACTTGACGGCAAACACGCTGCGAGTGTTACCATGACTGGAAAACGTGATATGATAATGTGATGAATACAGAAACGTAAGTGACCTTGAACACTTAGTTTTTAGGTTCTAACTGCGGCAAGAATGAAGATGACTCTCTTCTGGGTTGTTGCGCCATGCAGTCTGGTAGAAGTCTACTGATGTTTCAGAGGTATTTGCTGCCTCCATCATCAGCGTGGTGTGGAAACAGCAAATGCCTCTGAAACGTCAGTAGACTTCTACCAGACTGCATGGCGCAACGACCCGGAAGAGAGTCATCTGACACCGATCAGTGTTTATAAGACCATTAGTTAGATTACATAACGACCAAAACAATTGTCTTCCGTTCCTTGAATGGGTAATAGGAAGGCCACATAAAATATTTAGTCTTTGCGTTCTGCTATGTGACTGATTCAGTAGCGGCTTTTTTGTGTGATTGTGAATCATGTAGTGGAGTTTCTTTTTCTACGTGTTATGTGCATACAATTTTATTACATTCCATGGATCTATTTGTTTGTCAGATGACAATAGGATGTGGAATAAGTCTTAGTAATACAATATATATTATACATATTACAAGTAAAATTCATTCTGTTATAAAGATTTTGCGTAATGTAAGGAAAGGGTTCACATAAAGTAGTGACGTGTTTCAAATATATCCACCCATTACATGCAGTAGATAAATTATATCATCAGAAAACAATAAAACCTTAATGAACATTAGAAATTCATCAAAAAAAGGTGTGTTGGAAGCCCAGGGGTTGTATGTTTTGCAGCCGTAGTTTGTACCGTCACAATCCGTGCCAGAATAAATTATTAAAGTGTGTGGGCGAGAACTCTTAGGTCTCAAAAGTGGTACACCAGCAGCACATTTTAAAGATCAATATTTTTCCCGCTCCAAAAGAATTTACTTCTATTATGTTCATATTGACAGATACGAATTTGAAGAAAGATTTTCAAAAATATTTAATACAGTGATTGTTATTCTCAAATGTCAAGTAACTGAAGCGAATAGAATATCTGGATACTTAAATGATACAATATGGAGAACAAATACTTGCGACATGAACCAAAAGTAAGAATCTACAAAAGTTTCATTAGGCCCATTAAGACTTATGCAGCAGAAACAAGACCAAAACAACTGAAATAAGAACACTGAGGAAAATCATGGGGAAAACGAGGATAGATCACACGAGAGGCCAAGACATCAGGCAGCAATGTGATATTCAAGAGAATGGGTGAAGGGGAGGGGAGAAGAATAAGATTGTTATTCACTTTTTTAGAAAATATTTGAAAAAAAAGTTTGTACAGTTGATGAGTAAAATATTCCTTTTTGGGATTATAACCTTTCCAAAATGAGACGTGAATTACATACAAGGAATAAACTGACAAACTGTCCTGATGTCTGGGAGTGCTGTGTGTCGCACTTTGTACTCAATAGTAGGAATTTGGGTTACTTACTGCGCCACACAGTGGGCTGCAGTCAGGATGTGCGTACTGTCGATCAACGAACCGCCACAGAACTGCCTCCCGCCGTTGAATAGAGCTGCCTGTGGATTTGTACACAAACAGTCTTGCGTCATGACCACATGCAGGAATTCATTTGTGACAAAAGTTAAAAATCAGCTGATATAAAACGTAACGCAGTGCATTTACTCACGCAGTTGAACGCAACTGTCACTCTCTGGCTCCCAGGCGGAACTACATAACTCACGGCCATGCACTTCGTGGTTTTCCTCCATAAAAACAAAATCAGTGTTAGAGTGGTTTCTTTCGGAAGCTGGGAAGTGACAGGGCATTCAACTTTATCAGTAAACAAACTGAACCAAGAATCACAAATTTGCTTCGTTCTTGACGGTGGCGTAGTTCTAAAGATAAATGTGCTGGTGTAGTCTGTCACGCAGTTTAATGTTCAATCATAATCACAAATTGCTGGAAAGCAAATGTGAATTTAATTTTTAATGCCTTCTACACTGAAATGACTGTAATACCGAACTGAAAATCAGCCACGTGTTCATTAAATGTATAATATCATCAAATTACAAGGATTTTTAGAACAATCATTTCCATTTGACAACTACGATGGAAATGGCCAAACAAAGTCTTAAATTTGTTCTGCATCCCAAAGAATTTTCGTAGGCTGGCTAATTAGTTCCTTTTATTTATAAAAAAAATAATAGTTTTACAAATCTGAAATTTTAAACTGTACAGATGTGACCTCAAGCAGAAGCACTTCAGTTCACAGCTGCAAAGTTTAAAATTGCTTTAAATCCTTCATGCAATGCGACAAATGTTAACGGTAACCTTAATAATATCACCAGCCACTTCTGGCTTTGAACCAGTGGTCCTCTTGCTTATTAAATTGGGGGGGGGGGGGGGGGGC